ATAATCTGTTCCCCCTCCATAAAATGGGAACAAATTAATTTACCTGCTAGTGTTTAACTGTGCTTTTGAAACATTTGCTCCTAATTTCACAAAGGGGCCTTGGGATTTAAACTATTTTTTCCATAGCTACCATATATTAAAGTCTTGTAAGGATAAATATCAAACATAGTTTTCAAAATGGAATTTATTAACTCTTATAGAACATACCACTAGCACACCACAACAAACTCAGGAACCTACGACAAACATGCAAAGCACTGAAAACTTTTTTTCAATAGGTGGCCTTCCCACACATGCGTGATGGTACCACCTCAGGCACACGTCACACTGGATCTAGGAAAGAAACAAAAAATTTAAGCCTTTTTTTTTTTAGAAAAATGTGTCTTTACAATTACAATATTCAATCAATCATTTTAGATTCCCTTCTATTCCAACTGCTGAAGGATAATATCAGTGCTTGTTTACGCATAATAAAATTATATAAAACTTTTTCTCTTCATTTAACTTGCTAACACTAACTCTTTAAATTAAAAAGAATGTCTTACCCAGTTCACTTCTGTGTCACTTTCCTTCTCTCCACAGAAGTGGCACAAGTCTTTTAGGTCATCTGTTAACAACAAAAATATAAAAACATCCACACATGTACAGTCGTGTATATATATATGTTATATATTTGTTTGTGTGCATGATAATGTATTAAGTTTGGGCTAAGTACAGAAGTAGCAAAACACAAATAATAGTAATCATGATATTTATTGTCATAAACACTCAAAATAAGAATAGTAATGTTATCCTCACCACTGTTAAGGATAAGTTTCACAGCAATATCCATCCTCATGCTGTAGACCGCCTCAGTGGAAACTGGAAAATCCACAACCTCTTTTGCTAGGATTTTTTCTGCAAACTGAAATGTACAGCTTAATTTAATGGCTTTTAATTGAAGTAACAAAGAAAGTGATATATTTCATAATCCTAACGTCATAAACTGTGTGACAATGTGTATGCACCTTCAGTGAAAATACACCACATGATGTACTATCCTGTTGTTTTGGATGCTTCACTGTGTCACATGTCCAACGTGAGACATTGCACCCCTTCTTTCTCATAAATGCCCTGTAAATATAGATAGATATATAAGAACAATTTTATATGATTTTCATACTTATGTTTAACTTACATTTTTTAACCATACCTTGTGATTTGTAAACATTTCTGGATGTCTTGTTTTGATTCCCCCAGTGGATTCAAGAACAAAGACTTTTTCTCTTGTGGGTAGATCACCTAGAAAGTGTGCATTCGACAGTTTTCATGTGTTTTTTGTCTATGACATAAGTATAATATAGAATGTTTTTAAAGTTTAAAAAACATTTATTACCACTAAAGTCCAGTGGTGGTGTTGATTGTTGATTCCAAGAATTATTTCATAATTCTTTGGGTTCATCTGTAAATAATAAAAAAGTCAAAGATTTTTCATATCAAGAACAAAACATGTTTAGTAACACACACATTGCACTAAGAGTCTACAAAAAAATTTTTCTATATCACTCAGGTGATACAGAAAAATCAGTAAAAACATATAACCATTAACATATTTTCTTTTCATCGATTCAAAAATACCAATAACACATGGAACACTACCACAGAAACACATAGTGGAATGTGTCAGATTTACCTTTAATCTAGGACTTTTTCCCTGCCACATTGCTGTCATTGCAAAAGAATCTATAAATGCAGCCTGTCCTGTGTTCTGGTTGTTGTAATCCTTTACAATAACCGCCAGAAATGCATTAATAGACTGTAAATGTATAACAAGAAAAAAAGGTTATTTAAATACTGTAACAACTGTGATATTTCAAAACACTATATTCATTGTACCTACCTGACTCTCCAGTTCCATGTCAGGGCCAATTTTATTAATGTCAAAGTAAAACAACTTATAGCCATTCACTTTTGACAGAAGGACAAAGACGTTTGTTCTGGTAAAAGCATCATGCACGTCTGATGATGAGGCAGGGATGAGGATTAGTACAAAACAAAACAAAAGTTGAATATTAGTTCCATTATCATGACACCTATTTCCTTTAATTTTTCAAAATATTTTATATGTTATGCAACATTATGCAAATCATATGATTGTAGTATGACAAAGTATTAACTTCACAGATTCATACAGCTATTTTCTAAATAAGAATTAATAATAAAGCAAGCAGTTTGTTCTACTGACTGACTGAAACTATTCCTTTCATTAAAACAAGATGAAAGCATATCAGTACAAAGTCAGACAGTTTTTATGTGACACATATGTATGATAATACAAGGTGAAATTTATGTGCTTCAATATATATTTATAAGAACTTAAAATTAAATTTACATTTCTCTGCAAGAGATTTTCGCTCAGTAGCAGACTGAAGAGGAGTAATAGGCAGAGCAGAAGGGATTGGTGCTGGAGCAGAGGGAGGTTGTGCTGGAGCAGAGGGAGGTTGTGCTGGAGCAGAGGGAGGTGGTGCTGGAGCAGAGGGAGGTG